AGATCGTTTGGAACGATTAAATTTATTATTCTAAACGAACGATAAAAGAATTGTTTGATTAGAATGATGAAATTATCGTTCTAAATAAATAATAAAAAAATTGTTCAATTGGAATGATCAAATTATTATTCTAAACGAATGATAAACGAATTATTTAATTGGAATGATGAAATTATCATCTAATCAAATGATAAGAAAATTGTTTGATTAGAATGATCAAATTATCATTCCAAATGAATAATAAGAAAATCATTTGATTGGAATGATCAAAATATCGTTCTAAATGAACAATAATAGAATTGTTTGATTAGAATGATGAAATTATCATTCTAAATGAATGATAAGAAAATTGTTTGATTGGAATGATCAAATTATCATTTCAAATGAACGATAAAAGAATCGTTTAATTAGAACAATAAAATTATTGTTCTAAACAAATGATAAGAAATCGTTCGATTAGAACGATCAAATTATTATTCCAAACGAATGATAAGAAAATCGTTCAATTGAAATGATCAAATTATCATTCCAAATGAACGATAAAAAAATCGTTTGATTAGAACGATTAAATTATCATTTTAAAAGAACAATAAAAAATCGTTTATTTGGAATAATTGAAGTTATCGTTCTAAACGATCTGAAATTTCAGGTTAATCTGAAATTTTCAGTTCAGTTCAGATTTTTACCAGTTTACAGTTCAGTTCAGTTTCAGATTGACATTTTTAAGATTTTTAATCCAAACTGAACTGAAATTTTCAGTTCAATTTCAGATTGGCCTATAATCTAAACCAAACTGAACCATTTGGAGTATTAATTGAAATAACTTATTATATGCTAAAAAGAGCCTCAATCCTTAAGGACTGAATATTAATGATGATAAATGCCTTTTATCTAGGATAGTTATTAGAAAAAAAACTTTTTCTCCAGCTTAACGAACTTACTTTAAAAGCATAATAACTAAGTATTATTATACTACATCAATATGAACTTATTTCATTTTTGAATTTTTGGGACTAAAGCAAATTCAACATACTCGATACTTAAGTCTTCCTGAGATATATTCAATAAAAAAGAAAAATTATCAATCTCTAATAGAAGAAGCAATATTGATTTAGTCCAGAGACCAAAATTTAGGGAAGGAAATTGAAACTGGCAGAAACTAACAGATCTATCGAATATGACATATATGCCATATATGCCAAATAAGACACATATATTATTTATTATATTTCTATTATTTATATCATTATTATCATTTATAATATATTTAACATACTTAGCATATCTGTTAGCTTTATTATTATTGTTAGTAGTATCATATTTACCATAGATTTTCTTTAATTATAATTTTCCTATATAAAGAGCATAAAAATACCTTGGAAAAAGGACAGATTCTAACAAGTTCTAAATATTATATTTAATAATAATAATAAATACTCTTAATATTTTGCAAATATAAAACTTATAATTTTATTCTTGTTAACTAAATAAACTTTCTAATAAACAATATGTTAATTTGATTAAATTTAAGTCATGGTTATTGTCTCTCTAACTTCAAATTATAGTTAACTTATTTGATGAAAAGAGTAACGTTAACATCGTTCAGATTTTTTTCTAAAACGTGATCAAATTAAATATAACTTTCTGTTAATAATGACACATTTTTGTAAAATGATATACCAGCAAAATGTTTAAGAAGGGGAAGAAGTTTTGGTTATTGCTATTAAGTAAAAGGAAGAATTTTTCGTAGCGGTTGTTGCTATTGAAGAAAATTTTATTTGATATTTAATTTAAAGTTTAACTATGTTAAACGAGTGTTATTATTATCTTGCGATTCACATTTATTTATTAAGTTTCTTTTTAAGAAAAAAATTAACGTGTTTTTTACATTGAAAATGTTCAATTAAAAAAATAATCAAACTTCAAAAAGCTAATATCTATTTTTTGTTCAGAATTTAAGAACCTTATTAAATAGAAACATAAATTTTAAGAGGAAGGGGATTAATTAGTCCAATATATGTAAAGTGTCTGAGTTAATTACACAAAGTTTAGATATTAAAGATATCAATTACATAAAATTATATTAGAAATTTTTGATTAAAATTAAGACTTTATTATATTTTAAGTACTTTATTATAGTCTAATCTTAATATATTGATAGTTTATATACTGATAATTGATATATACTGATAAATTTTCTTTGTTCCATTTCACAATTAATAAAAAAATCTCATTATATCAATATTATATATTATTTCACAATGTAACATATATTGATGCAATTTCTTTGTCCTTTAATAAGTAATATATAGTACTATATACTAATATTTCAAGTTATACCAGCATATATACTAGCTTTTTTATTTTATGTGTCGTATTTTAGCTAATAACGATGTCTCAACAAAGAAAAAAGAAGTTTGTTCAAGATACCTTTTAATCAAATAAAAGAGTTGTATTAACACATACACAAAAGCGTCAACTCTGTTTAGATTCTTAGAAAATACTACGCCCTATTCAAGAGGAACTTGCTATTTTATATAAAGTTAAGCAAAATACTGTTTCAGATATTTTAAAAAAAAAGAAAAGTGGTTATTTGTAAACCCAGACTCTGAAGATACAAATAAACAGAAGGAGAGACCTGTTTATTTTTCTCAAGTAGAAGAAGCCTTTTCATTATGAGTAACAAATACACTTGCTACAGAATTTACCATTAACACTGATATTTTACATGAAAAGATAAAATATTTTGTTCAGCAATTTGAAATCAATAAATTTTTATTTTTTAATAGGTAGACTGATAAATTTAAAAAACGTCATAATTTAAAAGAATACATTAAGTGAGGTAAAGCTAAAAGTATATCATTAGAAATCTTAGATGAAGAAAGAGATATTTTACGCTAAATTATTAAAGATTATAACTTAAACGATATTTTTAACTGTGATAAAACAGATAAGTTTTTTTTTTCTCAATAAAGCTCCTATTTTTTTATATTTTAAGATTCATATATTTTAGGATTGTATTGAGATCTTGAACTATCAAAAACATTAGCATAAGGGCCTCTTTCAGGAACAAAGAAATCTAAAAATAGGTTACTCTACTTTTTATATGCAATGTTACTGGTACTGAAAAATTAAAACCATTATTCATTTATAAATACTAGAATTCACAAGTATTAAATAGAAAAAAAAGAAGAATTACCAGTAAATTATTATTAGAATTCAACTATATAGATTATAGATGCCTGCTGAAACCTTCTCAAAATAATTTTGTCATACCCTTTTCTATGTTTTTAATATAGTTTCGATAATTTTAGCTTTCGTCATATTGAATGGGTTTTGTCATATCCCTTATTATGATTTTAATATAGTTTCGTCTAAGTTATGACTGTTATTATGATGTTTTATTCCTCATCTATAGCATAAATGTAAGTTAATATTTAGAATGATTATCTTAAAAAATTGGATAGGCAAATTAGATTATAAAATCGCAATATCCTTTTACTTATTAACAATACTCCCATATATATTATAAATGAAGATATTAATTTAACAAATGTAGTTATTCATTTTTTGCCATTAAATACTATATCTCATTTATAGCTATGTGATGCAGGGATCATTAATTTCTTTAAAGTTAGTAACTTTTATTATTAATTTGCAATAGTAATTTTTTTATAAAATCTAATTTGATTTATGGTAAATTCTCAATAATTTAGGCACAGTACCAGAAATTACTTGTTAGAAATAGAATTGAAGTATATAAAATTTTACAAGAACTTAACAAAGAGCCTACTCCCATAAATATTTATGATTTTATTGATTTCAGCATGAATGCTTGGAATTCTGTAAGTTAACAAACTATTATTAATTGTTGGAAGTATACAGGAATTCTACCATTAAATGAAATAGATGAAATTGGTAAAATTGAAGATCAAACATTATATGATGAAATGGAATTACAAGATTTAATTAATGAGCTACCATTTAATAACCTTATGGATACAGATGAATTTCTTTATATTGATGATTGTTTGAAAAGTAATGAAGGGTTAACCAATGATGAAATTGTGTCTATGATAAAGTCAAAAAATAATAATGAATCAGAAATGGATCCAAATGAAGAGCCTCCAGTAGTAATTTCTGAAATAAAAGCTTTAGATTATTTGAATGATCTTGTTTTATTTTTTAAACATTCATCAGATGTTTGTATTAACCCAAATGAATTAAGTATATTGCAGAAGTTAAGGCATCAAGTATTAAAATTACATGTTAATAACTCAAAGCAAACTACGTTAAATAATTTTGTTCAAATCCTTTAATATAGTTTTTATATTATATACACTATTTTAATATAAATAATATACTAATAAAATGCGTTACTAAATTTAAATAAAAAAATAAATATAAATAATATATCGTTATTTTTTTCAAAGTATTTTGTTAGAATTTGACTTAAATGAAATTACTTTATTAAATAATTTATTTTACATTGTAATTTTATACAAAATTTTATATACCGATATTAATTTCATTTTATTATCGATATATAAAATTTTCATAATGTACCGATATTTTGATATACCGATATTTTTTTCCAAAAACATCTATATCGGTATATAGAGGTTTGACTGACATTTTAAGTCTAAATTTATTAAAGTTATTTGGTAATTAAAATGTTATGATAAATATTAAAATTAAAAATATAATTTCGGCCGACCAGACTTAAAAAGAATTTCTATAAAGAATTTCTTCACTAATTCTCATTGTATAAATGATTGTTAGGAAATTGATATCATTTAATTTTGTGACTTTAACTTAGTATGAAATTAATTTAAGCTAAATTTTTTTTTATAAAATTTTCGCTCTTTCTAATTTATATACGGCTTATTAGCTTAACAAATTTTGATGACCAATTTGTCTCAGACATAACGTCAAAGACAAATACTTTTTGAAAGTTTTTTTTTTTTTTAGTTTCGATAAAGACTCTTATTAATCTAATAATGTCAGGTAGTAAACATATACTCCGTAATGCCCGCCCAACTCGTCTCGAAATTCCTTCCAATTCCCATACCCCTTCTTCCTCAGCTCCTTCATCCCTTTCACCACTTATCGTCCCTGCTCCAAATTCTTCGAGTAGTTCTAGTGCGACGCAACAGCAACAGCGCTTGACTACTGAACTTATCACGGCTATGGGAAAACCAAACCATCAGCCACCAGCTGAAGAAAACGGAAGTCTTTTTCAAAACGAAACCATTAAAAGCGTATCCGTTCCAGACGGTGAGGATTCAGTGGAAATAAATCCTGAACACTTTATAGAGCTGGTTAGATTGGGTGAGGGCGCCGGTGGTACAGTGACTAAAGTAAAACATATTGGAGACGGACGCATAATGGCAAAAAAGGTTTTTTTAATTTTAATTTAAAATTTATTTTTGAACTTCATTAATTTGATCTATCTAATATTTATATAATTTTCATTGATCGAACAAATTTTACTAGATTTTTGATCATTATATTTATCTTATACTAAAAATGTAAATTATTCCTTTCTCCAGAAAATTAATGTTGACCCAGAGCCAAATATACATAGGCAAATTCTTCGTGAACTTCAATTTCTTCGAACATGTCATTCACCAAATATCGTGGCATATTTTGGAGCTTCATTAGAAGATAGCAATTCATCGATCGCGATTTACATGGAATATTGTGAGGGTGGTAGTTTAGATGCCATTTACAAAAATGTGAGCAAAAGAGAAGGAAGGATCGGAGAAGTAATTCTTGGGAAAATTGGCGAATCAGTAAGTTTTTATTATTATAAAAATATCAAGTTATATTTTATTTTAATTTACGATTTACGATTTCTTATTTGATTGTATTAGGTTCTTAAAGGATTGGTATACCTCTATAGCAAACAAATCATTCATAGAGGTTAGAGTTGTTTACATAATTTACTTAGGTTAAAGTAGCAACTAATGAAATATCTTCTTGTTTTTTAAGATATAAAACCGTCGAATATCTTAGTGACCAGGAGGGGAGAAATAAAAATTTGCGATTTTGGAGTCTCTGGTAAATTAGTCGCATCAATGGCAGAAACTTTTTTGGGGACTAGTTATTATATGGCCGTAAGTGAGAACAGCTATTTGATTGATCGATTTTTTTTTTTTACATAATGTAGACATTTGCTCGTTTAGCCCATCTCATGTTAATTATTTGAATATTTAGCCTGAACGAATTCGAGGTTTGCCATATAAGGTATCTGCTGACGTATGGTCTTTGGGATTAACGATAATGGAAGTTGCAGAAAATAAATTTCCGTTTCCTTCTGTATTGTCCCCGATCGAATTAATTACGCATATTGCGAACATGCCTGCTCCCACACTTAGTGCAGAGTGTGAATGGAGTGAAGAACTTCAAGATTTCTTAAAAATTTGGTAAAAATTTTTGTTAAAAAATATGTATAGATCATTTATTCACTTTGTTCTTGTTTCTAAATAGTCATCTAATTTTTTAAATAGTTTGGAAAAGAATGGAGAGTTACGCCCTACACCTAAACAAATGCTTGATCATCCATTTATCCAATTGTCATTACAAAGACGTGTGAATTTGAATTTATGGATTAAACAGGTTTGGGAATGGGATGAATGATTAAATTTAGTATTTTCTTTTCCCTAAGAAGTTTTTCATTGTAATTTACGAAATAAGAAATCGACTATCGTTAAAATACGTAAAATAATATACTACATATGTATATGTATATATTATTTTAACAAATCAAGTAGCCAAAGTTTAATTGAGAATAGCTGTTTAAACCTTTTTTTTTTTTTTGACTGTTCGGATTAAAAATCATTATTATAGTTAAATGCTTGTATTTCAATTTTGGTCGGATGTTTTATATTATATATATATATTTTTTTTTGTATAAGTATTGAAATATTTACTAATTTAATATACGAAAAAAAAAAAAAAAAAAAAGAACTACCAGATATATAAATTTTATTAAGAAAAAATTTACTGTATTAAACTACTAATTAAATATTTGTTTTAGAAAACTCTTAAAATAATTTTATAAAAGATCTTCACACCTTAAGAGAAAAAAAAAGTCTAAACTATTAATAAAAAATTTACCGTATGTAAATCATTTTGTATATTGTTATCATTATTAATCTTGTTTTCCTTGCTTCTCATTAAGAATAACTTTTTCTTCAAAAGCTTCCTCGATCTCTCTATCATTGATCCCAACTTTTTCTGAAGTTATTATATTCTCACTTTCATTACTCACCTTTTCAATATTCATCATTTTTGGTTGAAGATTTGCGGGAGTAAAAAATTCAGCATTTTGCTCATTGTTATTACTTTCAACGTGATATAAAGTTGGTGTTATAGTATCATTTTCGGGATTATAATGTTGATAATTGGTTAAATTGGTAGTGGTAGCAGGTACTGATGATTCCATCCGTGTCTCTTGAGGTGAAGCATCCCACGGTAATGTAAATTCTTGTTCATGTGATTTGAATTTGTTCGTTTTTGGGATTCTATGAAGATACCTATGATTTTTGAAAAAAAAAAAATCAGTAAAGTATTGGTTGGGCAAATGTTTAGTGCATATAAATGCTTACCCGTAACCAACTCCGCAACCCAAAGATCCTTCACCACCCCATTCATGATTTGGAACAATTATAACCTTTTTGGCAGTAGAAACAAAGGATTAGTTGATAAATTTTTTTTTTTCCCCAAGACCAATCATCCCGCTTTTCGAAAATCTTGAAATATTGTTAAAATACCTCTCTACAAACATCAAAATCAGCATTATATACATAAAGTCGAAGTGGTTTCCCCAAATATACATCAATTAAATCATAAAAATCCGATTCGTTACGTAGGGTAGCATGCGGTGTTCCAATTACGTAATCTGTCATTGAGACCTTGATTATAGGTAATACGAAAGGAAAATTTAATAATTTCTAAGATTGGGGGAAATAACAAAAAAAAAACTAATCAAAATTTCATACCAAACCGGCCATTTCCGCCGGGCTATCCACCGCAACGTCCAATATATGCCACACATTCTCGTTAGTGCTCTATAAATCATTTTTTTTTTTTTTTTTACGGTATAACAAAAGAATGAAATAAAAAATTAGAATCTATTGAAAAAAATCTAATCAAACAGTTTTGAAATAAAGATTCGATCGATTATTAATTTCGAATTCGACGAACCTCATATAAACAATATCGAATACTACAACCTATTCTTCAATCACATAGTTAAGAATAGTCAACTAAATTTTTTTTTTTTTTTCCTTTTAAAAAAACATATAAATACCTATATATATCTTAAAAAAAAATTCTCACCAATTAATCCATCTTGGGAATTGCTCGACCAGTCTTTATTAGGAATTAGTGAAACCTCTTTTTATCAAATAATAATAATAACAATGTAAACTGATCAATACAAAAGATGCAATGAAGCAACAATTACTTCCTATTAGGCAAAATTATCAACACACCTCTAAATTCCTGTTCTTTTGTAGAATAAATTAAAAGGATGACTTCTTTATCAATATTTAAAAGCAATTGTTCTTGAAGATATGAACTATCAATAACCTAAGCAAAGATATGATAAAAATGTTACTTAATAATGCATTGAAATTCTCCAACAAAAAACGAATTCAAAAATAATTGAATTTACAAAAGGTACCAATTGAACTCCATTAATTCCAACGATATAATCGAAAAATGGTTCTATGCCTACAGTGTAAGCAGGAGAATTCTCTTGTACCTACCATATAATAAGGGGAAAACGAATTAGTACAACTTTTCAAATTCAAAAAAAAATAAAAAGATAAATTTTAAATTCTACGGTTACCCGTAATACATGATATCCATATCCTTTAGCCTCTGTACTTTGCGTTCCTCCCATTTCAATACAAAAATAGCTAAAAAAGTGAAAAGATTTGGGGAATGAAACTTTTATATTAAAAATTTTTTTTTTATTCGTTTCACAATATCACAAGATTACAGGGGACCTTCGATCAATTTTCCCATTTTTATTTTTCCCGGCAGTTTCTCCCTTTTCTATTGTCAAAGGTGTATCAACAGTTTCATTTTATTCGTATTCAAGATAATTTTTTTTTTTTTAGTATTGGTATGTAGAGACCAATCTATACATTAAATGTTCACCGGCAGTTGAAGGTTTTTTAACACCGTCAACACCGTAAGAAATTCCCTTCTCCAGATTTACCGGAACCAAATTTTCTAAATATTTACTTGGAATAGGATCCAAACCAGCATCATTTTCAGCATGACAAAAATAAGCTATGCTATATCTATCCTTTTTCACAGTATCATCATTAAATACAACACGATGTTTAGTCGATTTAAATAAACCTTTCGACCAATATTCTAATAAATCTGCTATATTAATCAACACGCAATCATTAATCACAGGAGCAGAAATCCATTGTTTTGTCGAAGGTAATTCTACCTCCAAACCTCCGATATCTTTTTGAAATAAAATTGTCAGGGTACCGTAATCCGTGTGACTACGTAGCAATAATGATGAGTCGCTTAATTCTTTGATACACATGATTGAAAAAAATATTATATATGAGATGTCATTTTATTACCTTCCCGCGCGAATATCTTTCTCATCAATGTTATGTTTGATAGGAGGATAATGTAATATCCTTAATGTATCACCGGAATCATTTTCATATTTGTGTCTTTGTTCAAACCAATTCTTACCACCTTCTTCTGGTGGTATTTCTAACGCTATAGCAAAAGCTTGCAAGATTTTCATACATAACTGATGACATTTCTGAATAAATTAAATTAAAATTAAATCATTGCGAACACTTAAGTGAATGGAAATGAAAAAGAGGTGATTGATTTTTTCAATGATATAAACCTTTTCGAATTTATTAATGAATTCACTTTTCCCTTCGAAATATGGAGGTAATATTTGTGATCTCGGTTTTTCATGATGTAATTTACCGAAATTGAAACATCTACAATATATATATATATATACGTATATATATCAAAAATGGGACTTGATTCAATATAGAAATTTCTATGAATTTTTCAAAAGAAAACAAACATACTCTTTCCAATCACCGATTTTTTGGTTTGAAGGATCAAGCATTTCCTGATGAACAGAAACATAACCGTTATAATTTTCATTCACTGTATATTTTAATTTTTCTTCTTTTGATAAATCAAAGAATTCTTTTGCCTAAAAAAAAAAAAAATCATCTTTATTAGCGCAATAATTACGATAGAAGGAAAGAATTGATTTTTTTTTTTTTTTTTACTTGCAAGTTGAAACATTTTATCAACTTCATCTTGCGAAATTCCATGATTTTTTAAATAAAAAAATCCAATAGTTTCACTTGCTCTCTTGATTTCTTTAGAACAATCAATTTGATCAAATAATGAAAAATCAATTATTGGGATTTGTTCCATAGGTAGTAACAAGGAAAGAATATAATAAAAAAAAAAATCATGTCATTTATTTTATCATTGATCAAAGGTGTCATGATGTAAATCATCGACATCAACACATAGGGGGTGGTCTTTGCCAAGACGACATGATGTAAATTGTTGCCTCAATTTTTTTTATAATAAACATTAATAATGAGGTGAGGTTTTAATTGTAGCCTGATTTTTTTGAAACTTTTAATTTCCTTTTTTAAACAAAAGGGACGCGAAAAAAAATTTAAATAAATTCAAATAAATTCAAACAACTAAATAAAATTTCAAACGCGAAAAATTTATATATACATATAAAATGTCTGAACAAATAAAAAAACAAAACAACCATGTTCCTCAAGAAGAAATACCACCTTCCATAATCGATCAAAACGTTACAACAAAAACCAATCATTATCTAAAAGAATTCGTCGAAAATTTAAGCAAAAGAGTAAATTCCTCAATAAATTCATTCCAATTCATTAACACGTTACAACAATTAGCACACGCATATGAATTACCATCATTTGTATTGACGGATGATGATCTATTTGCACCTTCCACACAAAAATTTTTAGGAGATTATTCTTTAGATGAAATTCATTTGTATCTTGATAAATACGGTATAAAAAAAGAATTAGCGAAGAGAGGATACAAAGACATTATCATTAATCTTGATACTTCCGATTATTTTGTACATCAATTGTGTGTAACTGACAAATCATTGTATACCAATTCTTTGATTAATGGACGATTTTTAATTAATTTATTTGTAAGAAAAAAAGATTTCATTTATAGTGATTTTAAAACTTATCAAATTTTAAGAAGGATCGAAACTTTTCATAATGAAAAGTTTAAAGATAAACAAATCCAAAAGATTAAGTACATTGATGGTTTTGGCGCCTCGGAAGTTTATAAATTTATGGAAAATCATTTAAACGATAGATATTTATTAAGTTTAATCGAATGGATTTGTATGCAAGGTAATGCTATTATTTATTTCATAATGAGATAGAATGATTTTGTTAAATGTGTTTATTTTCTCACTTCCTTCATTTAGATCCACGTGGTGAATTTTCCAAAGATAAACCTCAATTTCCAGGTCAAAATTATCCCGGTTTAAGATTTGGTAGAAAAGCTGGTAATATGTTGATAAGTTTGGCTGTTCACAAAGGTATTTTACCTGCTCATTCGTTCATTCTTTTTTTTTTTTTTTTTTGACTCGAATTTACTGATTTCTTTGTTTATAAGGTTGGGATGGTCTCTCTAATGTTCCTGAACATTTTCATAATGCATACGTATATCACATGCAACATTATACTTTCCTCAATCCGGCCTTTCAAGCTTATTTTGATTGTTTATGTGGTAAATAATTCAATTCACTTTATGTTTTCATCGCGTTATTACGAGGATATACTAAAAGCTAATTCTTTTGTGTTTGTAGATTCGTTAGCAGATGATTTGAGGATTCATGGTTTATCGGCCGTATCTTGGGCATTTTGCAATGGTCATGTAAGAAATCGTGATGATGAAATAGAAATGTAAGTTGTTTCACTTGATATTACATCAATTACATCCTATAAAACATTTCATTGTTTAATTGCTTTTTTTTTCTTTTAGATGGAATCCTGAAGAACAAATTTATCCTGTATCATCAAAATTACGTTCTTATTTGGATTCTCGTGATTACAAAAGATTATATAATATATTTTATAAACGTGGTTATCAAGTTTCGATAGATTGGGAAAATGCTAAAGAAATTTGGAGATATTCTTTAAATAATGAATTTAATGAAGTTGCCAAACATTTCGGTGAAGATAAATCTGAAGATATTCTTCACAATGAGATGATACCTTCAATGTAATGATGGAATTTTCAAAATTTTTAAATTTGTGATATATTTTATTCACAAATGTTCACATATATATATATTTTTTATTCAATTCCATTTGTAAATTATAAAAGTCTTTTTTTACTTATTATTTATATTTTCATTATATCTATTGTAAATTTACCTCTTTCATGTAAATTATTTTTTTTTAAAAAAAAAAACAAGTTTGTACCTACCAATCACTTGGCTAAAACTTGAATTCTTTATATTTCTTGGTTCCTGAACTTCCACCAGGACCTGAATCCCTTGCTGCTGCTCGTGAATCTGCAACCTTTTGTCTTTTCTTTGCTTGTTTACTTGCATGTTCGGCAACCATATCAGAAAAATCTTCGTGTGCTCCCTCAGGTAGAGTAGCCTAAAAATATAGCATATTAATAAAAAAAATTTTACCTTCATAAAAAAAGCAATTAAAAAAAAATATTTCAATAACCTGTTGAGCTTCTTCAAACTTGGCTCTTAAAGTCTCTTCGTCCAGGTTAGCCATCTCTGAAGGATCCAAAGCTACATCAACGCCAGCACCAACTGCTTTTCGCTATAAAAATTGTAACATTATTTATTAGTCAAGATTACAAAATTTCTGTGGAATATTTTAATTTACCTTAGTTCCCTTTGTTGCTGCTCCCGCAGTTGCTGTTGCCGCTGCTGATGATATATCATATACATGTTGTGATCCCATAAATCCCGAAATCGACGCTTCCTTTTGTGGAAGCACTGTATATAATTGCTTAGGTTCATCTTCTTCACTCCTGTACAAAAAAAAATTCGGATGTTAACAAAATTTGAAAATCATGATCATTATTTTATTTGGATATTCAAATTCATACTTTTGATATTTTCTTAATTCAATAAAATTTGGTGTTTCTAAACCACTCGCTATGCTTGCCGTGTTTGCAGTAGATGTCGAGGTGTTTTGGAATTTCCTCAACTCAATATATTCAGGAGTTTCTAAGCCACTTGGTACACTTGACAAGCCACTAGGAGTAACCAGACCTTCTTGTAATGCTTTAGACGCAGCAGACTCATCTTCTGGAATTTCTTCCTCTTCTTCCTCTTCCTCCTCTTCTGATTCTATTATATGATAAATTTTACATTTAGAACAATATTATTAATTCTACAAAATAAATAAAAATAAAAAACATATCCCTTACCTTCTTCTTCGAGCTCTAGTTCACCCCACAATGAACGTTCAATTGGTTGAACAATCTATATAATTTAAATATAATTTAAAAAACAGAATTTTTTTTTAAAAAAAAAACCCAAACAAAAAAAATTACATCAGACGGAATTTCTTGTTGGTATGTTCCGAAGACATCACCATACAAAGGACGGTTATACTATAAAAATAGTAAAGTTAATATTTATTGAAATTTTCACTCGATAGGTATCTAAAACTTACTTCGTCTACAGGAGGTTTTCCCCAACCACCAGGATGGAAACCCCATTGAGCCCTATTTATTTATTTTTTTTTTTTTTTTTTTTTTTTTTTTTTTTTTTAAAAAAAAAATAATAAACATTAATTACACAATTTTCCTTAATTAGTACCAAAAATTAAATTATGTACCCTTCTGGAATCGGTGCATTCAACCCAGGAATTTTCAAATTAGGATAACTAGGTGGAGGCCCGTAACGTTGCATTGCAATTAACCATGGTGGAGGAGCAAGCGGTGGCATATTCAAGGCCGCTTTCAATTCTTCTGAAAGTTGTCCTGGTTTTTTTTCTTTGAGCTTCGTCTCAAATTCTTTACCTTCGTAGTACCTTAACAATAAACACAATATTAAATCAATAAATTCTTACCATATAATGGAGACTTTCAAATCAAACTTGACTCACAATTCCCCGTGGATCGTTAACTTAGGTTTGGACTGAAATCTGAAAAATGCATCATGCAATTTCTGATAATCGATATCCAATTTTCCCATTTTAGGTTGTACACGCTCACGTGTCTTTTGTTTCAGTTTGGCCGCATCTTCTTTTTCTTTAACAGCCTCACGCATTTCCATTATACCAGTATCCTTGATGAATTCTAAATTAATAAAAACTTAGTTTAGTATAATTTAAACGACACATAATAAATAATCAGCAAAATAAATACCAGGTAAATCAAAGGCAGGTTTTTCTATTCCCCTTTTTCCTTGAAGATATTTTCTTTTTTGAGACCAGTGTTGTGGAACTGGAACCGTATTTCTGTAAGCTTTAAGGCTAACTAAAAGTTTAGGATCTGCTGCTGTTACGTCCACCCACTAAAAGAAAAAAAATTTTTTTTTGAATTAATATCAAATCCGTACTTTGCTTTAATAAGTAAAAAGAAACAATTTCAATTTGTACCTCAACGACTTCTGGTCTTTTTACTAACTGTTTCAATTGTGCAACACTTAATCGAGCCAGTTTTTTTAGTTTCTTCTTTGACACCTTGTCCTGTTTATCTTCTTCAGTCTCCATGTCTGATTCTACATCTGAATCCTTTGCCTTTGTATCGACTTGAGACTTAATAATCTCATCTTTTTCTTCTTCTTTAATCTCTGGCTGTGCCTATACCATTATCCAAGTTCTTTAGTAAATGTTATCCTTTCAATAAAAATCATGCTTTCGATTACCGTATAAAATATTTAAATATAGAAACATTTACTGAGAACACGATACCTCAGACTCGTTATTGGCGATCTGAAAATGGGCAAAAACCTTTGAGAATTCTTCAAAGTAAGGATCGTTAGATACATCCAGAGGTTGTAATACATACTCAATTTCCACTTTTTCCACGTCATCGACTTCTGAAGACTTTTTTCATTATATAATTTGAATGATATAATTTATTGTAGCGTTGGTTTACAATTTATAGTCAAAATATCCGACGATTTTAGAATGTTAAAGAAATATAATATAATATAATATTATATTATTTTTTTTTTTTATTAATCAGAAATTAAAATTATTAAATTATCACCTTGTCTTTTCCATTCGTATCGTTTTCTACTCCTTCAACTTTATATTGTGGCCTCTTTTTCTTTTTTCGGCGTTGTTTGTTCTTTATCAGCTTATTCGATTTCTTTAATTCTGAGTCTGATTCAGCAGTCATTTTAACAACGAACAAGAAATGTACTTGATGTAAATGAGAAGGTATTAACTTATTGCTCGCCGATCTTTGTGATTAGATTTTACATATATAGTAGTTTGGCGGAGAAAATGGCGTTGCTTTCGCTGATTGGTTCCGATAGAAACTAGTAATTGTCCGAAGCATAGCGGAGGACTTTAAACTCAGTGTGTAACACATTTTATGACATCATATATGCACAAAAATAGTATGTGCATTATTAAATAATCGTATTCAATATCAAATTATCCCTTATAAAATTGTTTCTAAACATTTTAGAATATTTTGAAATTTTGATTTATCATATTATGTTATATCTAATGGTAGTATTTTTAAACATTTAAAATTAATATTTATCAATATATGTTAATTTTTTAATTTTTAAAAATAATTTATTATCTAATAATTACAAAAATATATATAATTCTTTCCATCAAACTTCTCATCAAAATGTCACTAACAATAAGAAAACAAAGTACTTATGGAAAAAAATCCAAAACCTTATAACAAAGCTATCTCAAACATTTTAGAAAACAACAAAAAACCTATTGCTTCATCTTCTAATGATAATGAAAAAACAAAACCAATGAAAATACTACTAAAATAACAAAAGACAAAAGGTTAAAACACCTAAACTTGATACTATTCTAACAAATACAGAAGTTTTAAACTGTTTCTAATACTTCTATACCAAGCTTCATTATAGAAAACTTAGATATACAAAATGAAAATAGACACAGCTAAGAAAACTGCTTTTTTTGCACTGCAAGACTCTAGCATAAATGATTCTATTTATGTAACAAAAGTGTTGAATATTAACAAATCATCTTTATCTATTTCTATTATTGACAAAAGCAAAAATAAGCAAGTTTCTTGAATTAATCAAGTGAAAAATAATGTAATAAATCTGACCAATCATGTGATTCTAACGCAAAAGAAATACTTTCAATATAATTACCTATTTAACACATTTTTCACATCTGATAATATTGCAAATATTACAGGAAAATCTATAGCTGATAAACGTAATTTCATTAACAGATTATTTGTTAACTTTTCAGGTCACTAAGAAGCTTTTTATAACTCTAAATTAAGAAAGTTCTTTGTTTATTTTTACTCTATTGAATAATTAATATATGCTGTAATAAAAGTTTAGGAGACACAACACAACCCTATATTTGTAATTACTGATATATCTGCCAAGAAACAAAGAATAGATGCTAAAAAAAAAATGCATCAGGATCAATAATAATTTTTTATTTGTCAAATCAAATGTTATACAAAATTTTTTCAATAATGTGATATAATTGTAAGATTTTTAATGATCATCAGGGTTTTTTAGCAGATAATCTTTATAGTATACGAATTATTTGATGTAATTAAATCTTTTTACAATGACGTATGATCTCTATTATTATTAAATTTTACAATACATATTAAATCTACTGATCTTAATACTATGTAATTAATTTTATGACAATAATTTGAATTAAAATTAACTGGACTACCCTTTAATATAACTCAACAAAATTTCTTAATCTTTCTTGATATCAATATAAAATCATATTTTATTTCACAAGATTTTTAATATCAAAATTGTTCTTATGCTTGCATTAACTTTAATAATCAAGATGGTTATAATGTTACACTTAAATCTTAACACAAATTTAAATTGAATATATTACTTTGGTTAATCCTACTATATTATATTATTATAGATATGATAATTTTAATCACAAAGCTAAAAATTATTCTTTTTAAAAATCTTCAAATTCATATTAATAATTATACAATCATTTTAATCTGCCTCTTATAGGTTTTTCTATAAATTTAACAATCAATTAATAATTATACCTCAAATATATGATTGAATCAGATCTCAAAAGGTTCATATGCTGATGCATTTCTAATACTCCAAAATAACAACCAAATTCAACTGATACTACATCAGTTTTTAAAATAGTTAGATAATATTGATAATAAACTGATTGTTTTTGCTAATGAAGTTATCATCACAAAAATGAAATTATTATTCTTTAAAAAAAATCAATAAAATATCAACTATCACTTAACTAATTTAAAAAACATAATAATATAGTTTATATTAAAGGAATATACAACAGTAAAATAGATTTTAATGATTTTATTAATATTTTTCGCTTAATCAACCTCTACTGATTCTTTTAAAAGGCATTTCTTCTTTAAAAAAAGTAACTAGTATTAAAAATCAATTTGCGAATTCTATTTAAAAATTAAGAACATTACTAATAATATTCAACAAATCCTTCAAATGCTTTCATTATTTTCTAAATAAGTATATATCATACAAATAATAATATAGAATTATATTACACAAATTCTAATAATAATAATATACAGTCAGACCTGTATATAGTCACATGATTAGTTCTATAAAAATTAGTCTATATAAAGGTATAATTGTAAAAAGTTTACCTCTACATAGTTACAAATATATTAAAAAAAATATGTGGTGATTATTTAAAGGTTAAATTAGTTTCACAAATAAAATATACTGTAAATCACTGTAAAATTCCATTAGAAAATTAGAAACACAACTTTAATTTTATTTTTTATATGATTTATTTCAGTTATAATTGATTTTATTATTATATTTATTAAAATTTATAAATCAATTATTGAATTCATAACTACTAAAAAAATTAGTAATTGAAACTTAATTTCAAGATTAAAGTTTAAGTCATTTTACTATCTTTAAGTATTTTTTAAAAATTTAATCATCTTCAATATTAAATTCATCTAATTATTGCTAATCAAAAAATGTAATCCAAGTTTATAAGGATTTTAAAGCTTCATCTGAAGATACTAGTAATGGTTCTTCTTTAGAATCGTCATTAGTGTTATCTTCATTATGCATTTCCTCTTGAACCAATTGTATAATAACATTATTGTCTAGAATATCTTCAGTTAAAATATCTTCTAATTCATAAAAGAAATTAGTTAATGTATTTTTTAATAAAATATTATAAGAATCGTCACTAAATTTTTCAATTTCTTCAATGATTTGATCAATATTTACTGCTTCACAATCTGTAGAATTTTATTGAATTTGTGTCGTATTATCAATATTCTCATCAGTTAAGAAAGGTAAGATTTTGATCTTTTTTCAACAGTTATTTATAGTTTCTTTAGTTACTTATCCCTATACATTTACTAAATAATTAATTACTTCTTTAATGTTGATTTTTTCTTTGTTAATATCTTTGTTATCTTCAAAGAGATTTAACATATGATGGCAAAAATTTCTCTTATAATAACTTTTAAAGCTTGCAATTATTCCAGCATCGAGTGGCTGAAAGTGATTTATAGTATTAAGGGTAAAAAAGCCACTTCAATATGAGTTAATTAAAGCTGAAAAATACTAAGTTCGCAATTTTTAAATTCACGATTACTTGGTTTACCATTATGATCTTTATTATAATAACTTTCACTACAACCACTACTATAATCTCTATCACGACCTCTACCATGACCTCTAGATCCACAATTATCATGGCCTTTTAAAGCTTGATTTTCTATATAAAAAAATTTAGGTAAATTATTTTCATTTAAATATTTGCTAATTATCATATTTATTATATAATAATAAATAATTTTTATTTATAACAATAAAAAAATATGTAACAAAAAAAATGTAACAAAAAAAATATATAATAAAAAAAATATGTAACAAAAAAATTATGTAACAAAAAATATGTATATGACAATTAATAAATTATAATTTTTCAATTAAATCTCCGATAATAAATTCTAATAGTAAGTTATATTAAAATTTATATAATAAATGAAAAGATAAAAAGAATTTAAATTTTAAAACTTATCAGATATCGATTCAGTCTTTTCATCATTATCTACATTTTGCTTAGTTAGTAAATAATGTGGATTAAAATGTGATGATGCATTATCAACCAAAAGCAAGATTTTTTTATTTTTTGCTCTAAAATAGCTATTCAATTTATGAAGAACTTCTTCAAAAATTGTTAAGTTCATCTATATCTTTGAATTTTTACGATAATAAACTAGAAACTGTTCTAGATTAATTTTCAAAAGAAGTCTTAAACATTTTGCATTACTAATTACCCATAGTTTAAGTTTATTAGTTTCTATTGCGTTTATACCAAGAAGAACTATAATTCACATTTTGTCCTTCTTTTTGTTACGAACTGGTTTAGTCAAAAGTGTTTGATTTAGAGACATTCTATAATAAAGACCTATTTTATTAATATTGTAAATTCTATCAAGAGTATATCAGCTCAAAAGCTGACAAGGTTTAATTTTTTCTTCCAATAGAGATGCTATTAGCATACTTTAGATTCTCCATATATCTGATATTAGCAGATATTATTACATTTTTTAAAGCTATCTAATCAACCGTTAGAAAATACTAACTCATTTCTTATATAAAAATGCATTGGCAAAAAATCTTACCTTTTCTTTTATTAATGCATCTGTTAGAATTACACTGCCTGCTATTACATTTTCTATTCACAAATTCATAGCTCTGTCAAGTTCTGGAAATTTGACTCCTTTTTGTCTGTAAATTTATTTAGAACCTTCAATTTCTAATATAGTACTTCATTTTTCACTTTGTACTATAAATGCCTGTCGAAACCTTCTCAAAATAATTTTGTCATACCTTTTTCTATATTTTTAATATAGTTTTAACAGTCAAATATATTATATCTTTGCAAATTAATTTATGCTATTACTCCTGATAGTTTTATTCTTAGAATGGCTAAATTTTTTGCAAAAATAATTATGCAGATCTATATAATATTTATATAAATACTCTGCTTATTTTTTTCTTCACAATTCGATTCTTATTAGAGAGAACATTCATTATGAAACTACTTTGAATTGAACTGCATTACAAGTGAATAGAACTTTCACCTTCTTATATACTCGAAGTAAGAAAAAAAAATGTTTTCTTATTTACTTTTAGTCTATACACTATAAGCAGTTTATTGAAGTGAACAACGTCTTGTCGAGTATATATTATAGTTTTTCTTTCAGCTTACGAGTATCTATTCTTTAGATACGAATAAAATAAGTGAATAGGAATAGATAAATAGGAGCTTTATATATTGTAGCATATTCATATACTGTACATTTTATGATCCCAGAGAGGTCCAACGAATATTTCAATAATAAAAGAACTTTTCTTTTGCGTAAGACCTCTCGGTCAAGCATTTACAAAAAATATTATTATTTATTGTTTAAAACATATTATGGGGATATAAGAATATGGGAATATACTAACTTTTTTTGTCTTTAGGTATAAGCGCTGAATGGGATCTTAATAATTTTCTTTTTTCAGGAGTAAAGCTACGATAATATTTCACAATTATTTCAGATTCATATTTTGACGCAGATTCTCTATACTAGTATATATGGGCATTTAATTTTGTCAGAAAATTATAAAGTATATAAAAGGATTAATTCTAGAGAAGCGCCTAATATTTCTTTTCCTTTCACAAGTAAAAAAATCAATTTCACATAAAAGAAATAAAACAAAAATCAGTCTAATAAAATATTCTTAATTACAGATATTTTTTTGATCGCAACCTTCAGTATTACAATTGTTTTTTTGAGATGTTGAGCCATGGTATTCTAACTATAAAAATAATCTAGAGTATTTTTCTGAAAACGTAAACATTTATATAATCATTACCATCACTATCATCTTTTTTTGCAAATATCTAATGCGATCAGGAGATAACTATCTTGAAAGAACAATCTTAACATTAAGCAATGAACTTCAAAGAATGCATACAGAAGCTGAATGGAGAAATAATGCAGTATCTCAAAGTAGGTCATGCGCTACTGAATATTATCACATCATACATATATACTTATCTGCGCTTCACTGCGCTTTATTTTTTCTAGCAAGATCAAATCGATTTTCTTCCACAAGTCACATTTCTATGAGGCAATATTCTGAATATACAGATGAATATGAAACATATTGGGTTGAATTTACAGCTCTTTTTAATAATAGGAAGAAAATAGAAGTTCGTTTACTAACACAATTGTACAATATTTTATCAATCAAAATTGGATTTAGTACTAGCACATTAGCTAGTTTTTATCGTTATCAAAAATTACCAAGAAAAACTTCTATGGGTAAAATCATCAAATGGGTTGAAAAGGAGGGAAATAAGAAAGTAGTTAGTTTTAGCAATAGTAGCAGTAGTAACAATAGTAGCGGTAACATTAGAGAAAGTATCAGGAAAGGTAATATTGCGAAATAACTTGATGTTAAAACTCTCATTTATATCTTAAGATCTGAGAACTTCCTTCCTCTTTGATAGTATCATTTATTTCAATCATTACATTCCTCTGGTCTTTCGATCTATTATCTTTTATTTACTTTTTTTTTGCTTAACAGATCAGCCATATTACATAATAACAAATAAAAATTTTACTTTGAATTTTTAAACATATGTGTAGATCTCACTTTATTTTAAAAACTGTTTCTTAAACATAAGCAACAAAATAAAATTATTTCTTTTTCAAAAAAGTGATATTTAAATTTCTGCTCAAGCAGTCATACAATTCTTCAATATCAGCTTTGGCTTGTATCAATATCAGAGTGGATTTTTTTTTTGAAATTCCTTTCTATTTCTTCAACAATTAATGAAAAAAACTCTAATCATCTTCTGATACATTATTATAATTAATAGTAATATTGATTACATTAGCATTTTGTGAAAAAAAAGAAATTGTTAGGATTACAAGTCTAGAAGTATTAGGTATTTTGATAGTTGACAGATTTGATATTGTGAGTGATAGTGATTTAGGAGGGTCCTTGATAGCCTTTTCAGGTAGTTGTTACTCAGAACTTGATTTTTCTTTGGATCATTTAAGTAAGATTGAAGAGGATGATGCTTCAGAAGAATTCACATTACATAACCTAACATTTTCATTACACACTTGCTCAAATGAAAGTTTTAGTGAATAATGATAGATAGAATTGTGTTAATTTGCCATTAAGACACTTCGCAGAGATAATCATCAGCTTATTTTCTACAGAAACATACTTAGTTTTAACTAGAATATCGTTGAGAACTCTTTATAAATTTCTTTGCTAACTAGACTCCTTTTAGTTCTGGTACCTTTTTTATACTTTTTTGCTATCTAATAAATTAATAATAAGTATATTTTGCTATCAAGATGCCTTATAGAACCCAAGAAATTGCTACTTATGTAAAAAGCTTTCGTAAGACTTAAAAATTTTTATGGCAGGCTTCATCAGTGAAGTAATTAGTATTTTTTTGATCGTTTATTTTTTCTAAAATTTTGCTTCAAAAGAGATACTTCTTTTTATTTGTAATGGCATAATACTCCGCATTTCTATTTTTTCATTCATCAATGAGAATGCGAAGTTGAACTTCAGAGAACTCTATAGTTGATTTCTTTTTACATAGTAAAAAGATTCTTTAAGGATTCGTTTTATAAAAACAATATTAAGTAATATGTTAGATCATTGTGAAGCAAATTAATTGATCAATGATTAATCAAATAATAATAGTGGTTTAGCTATCATATCAATAAGATCAAAGGAAGTGAAATCTGATTGGCTGACCATCTCATGATTTATAGAAATTCGCTAGCATCTAGAACATTTCTAGAACTATTAAGAAACTGGCAGGGAACTAGAAAGATCATATGTGATATAAATTTTAGCCAAAGATAATTTAGCCGTCTATAATGATTGGATCTAATTTAGCTGAATTATATCAATATTTCATCCTGAATAAGAGCATCATCAAATAAAGGATTTACTAATTGCTAATCAATAAATCTGTATAAATTTGAATGATGATATTCTATAGTATATGTTACTTAAGAATAGCTAAAAATTGCTACTATAGTAGTATAGATTTCAAAAAATTTCTTGCTAATAAAAAATCTATGACAGATTATTGATAATGAGAAAGTGAGAGTCTCCAGTGCAGTGAGATTACAAGTTAAAAATACTCTCCAATATTTATTATCACAAAATAAAAATAGCATATACTATAGTTTCTGCTTATTTGCAGGAGTTGGTGAAAGCAAATTTGACAAATCATATCATTCTTATTATCGTCCTAAAATTCATAAAAACAATATGGCAATCTGCTTTCATTGCTGAAAACTATTTCAAGTTAATGAAATAAAGCCAATCAAATCATATCACTATGGATGACATAGATTCATTGAATTGATTGAAGCTAAGGACATGATATAGGGACATTGGGACTAAGAATATTCTGATCTTTTAAGTAATTTTGGATGTGCAAGGATTAAGCAACAAGCTTTTGAATCACACTCGTCGACTCCAAACATGCTATTTATCTTATCTCTTTATGCAAAATAAAATAACTTATTAATATCCATAAAACATCTTAATTGACAAAAGGTACTACAATAAGATTGAGAGATGGAGTAAAAATCATGATTGTTTAACTGTTTTGACTAACCAATTCTGAGCAATGTAGATTATTACTTTTAACTAAATAATATCTCAACTATATTCTGTTTTTTACGCTATATAATTTGCATGCATAATTGCCTAATATAATTGTAAAATGTATTACCATTGCAGGATAAAAAACCTGATTTGCCTATTTCAGATTAGATCTTCTAATTTATAATAAAGTATTATTCAGAAAAATTAATGAAGCGATCTTGGGGATTCTTGATTTCTAAATATTACTATAATTATGGTTTTGAAAATTTCTATGCAACACTTATTCAGCAAGCTTATAGGAATTACAAGAAAAGACCCAAATCTTTGGCAAAACGAGTTTGAGAGATGGTGAGAAATAATGGTACTCCTGACGATAAGAAATATTTAGGTATGAAAAATAAAGGATATAATCCTTCAAGACAAATTTGATACGAGGAATATTGTTTTTCAGCAAAAAATAGATGGATATTTGAGAAGAAAACTTAATTATGAATACAATTAGATATAGTATCACACATATTTGTTAGAAAATTATTATATCAGTAAGGCTATACACTTGTTAAAGATACATATTGGATTAACATGTTAAAATGGCTATGAAATCCTGAATATTATCATATTAATAAAAAATATAACTTTGAATACTTTATCAAAATTTTGAATTGTAAGAGATATAGTGGTAAATTGACAAAAGTACAATATATATGTAATTTACAGTTGTTAAAAAAATATGATATTTTAGGAAAGAATTTTACCGTAAATTTCTCAAATTTGAATGATAATATTGAGTTTGTACGCTGAATTTTTTAGATCAGATCTTGACTCAGATCCCGAATATTGTATTAATAAAATAATATACTGTTCAGCTATGCAAAGTGCTTCAAGGTCAATGCATGAAGGCATGTGTGACATAAATTAGCATATTTTCGATTCTCATTAAAATATATATGATGTAATAGGTGATACACTACCCAAATTAGCTGTAGATCTGTATAATTGCTTGTGCAACAAATTAATTTTTACACATAAAGTGATTTTCAAAATATTTTGAATTTTTTCCTATCTATCGGAATAGCATTTATAAGTTTATTTTCTCTGATGCTAAAGTCTATTTCTACTAGATTTCGATCAGAGTGTATTTGTATAATAATATTAGGCCTTTATTGCTAGGCGATCGAGCAAGTGAAATAAAAAAGAGGTATATGCATCATCCTAATGCCTTTCTAAATATCAAGATCTTTAATGCATATTCTATATGCTCTTATCTTCGAACATAAACTTTTAGCGTAAACTGCTTCGCATATTCTCCTATTTCGACCCTAACATAAACTTGGATTCAGAGAAGACGTAAATAGAAAAATTACAAATATATTTAAAAAGGCAGTATGGTGAAAAGGTATTGAAATTTACATTATTTTTATTTCACTTAGCAGATTTCTAACATTATATTTTGACTATCTTCATCATTATGTTTTCAGAATATTTATATGTAAAAATTGTAGAATATTTGACCAACATAAAGACTGAATATTTAATGGCAGACTCTATTATTTACTAAAAATTAGAAGAAAATTCTTAGATTAGTAAAGACAGACTAAGAGACGTTGTAGAAAAAGCGGTTAATTTGATAAAAAATTCGCATAATATAGATTTTGAACATTCTGGAAAACTTATTCAAATTATATCACAGGTACGCTATTTTATAGGTGAAATATTATGATCATATTATATCAAATAATGAGTACACAGATAGTGACACTTTTGAGGAAATAAGTATGTTGATATAAAAACCCTATTAGTCTACTAATAGGATTTTTCTCGACGGTGTGAAGGGTTATTTATGTTGAAGTTCATGCTTATTTTAATGTGATTAATATTATATCACATAGTTTTATTTGTGTAACTAGACCGTATTGGGTGATTTTTTTTGTATTATTTTTTGACGACTGCGCATTATTTATATTTTCATTTGATACATTAGCGGTTATTTAACTTATTTGTATATCTGCATTAGTTCAATATTGCTTTTGATTGTATTAGTAATTTGCAGGACGTTGGAGTTATAAAAACAGTATGTTTTAAGAAAAGGTAGATGATATAAATATATTTAATAATAATCTTTTGACTTATAGAATAAAGAGAAGCCTCTTACTTCAGAGCAGATTAAACACAATATAAATAAGTTAAAAGGAAAACTTACTGTAGGTAGTACTATCTTTTTTTTTATTATGCTAATAAGTCAAACTAATATGAGGTATTCATATCATTTAGACTAGAATATCAAAACTTTACCAGAAGTTAGTAGTTATTTTAAATGGATTAATAATCTCTGAACTAACTTGAAAGATCTCTTTGGTTAGTTAGGTCATCAGTAGTGATTCATTACTAGAGCTCAATTATTAAAAAAACAAAAAAAAAATTTTATAGTATATATCTTCATTAATATTCTCTTTTATCAACAGTGAAAAATAATATATATTATTTCTACTATCTAAAAATTAATTATATTCATTCCAAAAACTGGTTGAAGAAATGGTATCCATAACAATACCTCGAGACATAACAGAAAATATGTAAAATTTGTAACAAATTTTATGTCACGAAGTATACTAAGGTTACAAAAAAGATTAATGCATGATGAGAACTAGAAGGAAGGCAATAATAAGCTTAACAAAATTGTGTTAAAAATTCTTGATACATTAAATAGTATTTGGTACAATCTAGCTTTTGGTCTTGAATTTATTGAAACGATGAATAAGGGTACCTATGTTAATAATGTAGTTATTTTCGCAATCCATGCTACATTATTTGATAACTCTTTTGGAGAACATGCATTCATTACTATGTAAGTTTTTTGTAATATCTGACTATAGCTAGTCACGAATCAAATTATGATAAATATAATTTCTTTTTTAGTTTTGAATATCAAAGTATAGCAAGTTCAGATAGAAGGAGTGACAGACGTTAAAATCTAAACAGTTCAATTCAGTCTGGATTAGATGCCAATCCATATCTAAACCAAAAATTTCAGTTCAGTTCAGTTCAAATTATTATCTTAAAAATGCCAATCCAAATCCAAACTGAACTGCAGACTGGTAAAAATCTGAACTGAACTGAAATTTTCAGATTAATCTAAAATTACAGTTCGATTATATAAAGAATATGCAATTTATATGCAAAACTCTAGGAGAATCACAAAAAATCGTAAATTTCTCTTTGAAGTTCGTAAAATTTGAAGAGAAATCACAATTTTTGTGACTCTCCAAGAATTTTGTGATATTTTTTGCGAAATACTAAGAGAAATCGCAATTTTTTGCGATTCTTCAAGAGTTTCGTGGTAATTTTGCGAAATTTAAAAAGAAATTGCAAAAAATTGCGATTCTCTAGAGTTTCGCTAAATTTTTGCGATCTTTAAGAGTTTCACATATAATCGAACTGAACTTTCAGATTAATCTGAAATCATCAGTTCAGTTCAGATTTTTTTCAGTTCAGATTAGAATTATAATCTGAAAAAAATCCAAACTGAACTAAAAATTTTCAGATTGATTTTTATGCAATTCAAAACTGAACTGAACTGAACTGATCTAAAAAATCTTCAGATTAATCTGAACCATTCAGAGCTTTAACGGATATACAGGAAGACAGCTAAATATAATGCTTGTATCAAAAGAGAGTCATAAACTATACAAACTTATGTACGTAGAATGCTCACGAATTTTTTGTAATAAGCAGAAAGAAGACAATGATAATATGAAATTATGATGCAAAACTAATGATGGAATATACTGGGTTTAAAAAAGTCGCAAATCTGAAAAAGGTCAATTTGGAATTATAGGAATGCAAGTAGCGGGACAAAAGCTATGTCTGAATATTTTGATTAGAGATAAAGTTGAAGTATATCGTTATTACTAAAGATGGCACTGTAACTAGTTGCAACTGGTAACAATTAAGCATTACAGGGTTGCAACTAATTGCAACTGGTGATAAATAAGTATCATATAATTGCAACTAATTACAGTATCATTTTTAGTTATTACAAATTATACGAATCTATAATTCCAATTCATTATTCATATGAACTTTCTTTTCTAGTCAAATTTATTAAAACTTTGTTAGTTTTGCGAAATATTTTAATTGTTAACATGTCTTTACTATGTAATACTCCTTTACATAAATAAAGTAGAAACTTAGAAGATAGTTTAACAGTAACATCTGATTAAGTTAAAATAGATAGATTGTATATATTATTAATAAAAATTTATTACAATAATATTATGATCTCATTGTTCAGTGTTATTTTTTTTTCTTAGCAAATTTGTAGAACTGCGCAGTTGAATTATGTAATTTATTTACTGCATCAATAAAGAATTTAAGCTGAAAATGTTATATATTATCAAGTAAATTATTCATAGGATATGAAGACATATAGTAAATAAAAAAGTGAGACCTAAAGTCCCACTTAGGTAAAATGCATTTTAAATAAACTGTATTCTATATAAAAGATATTATTGAATATGCAATCTGAACTTAATTCATTGAAATAATGCATCATCAAGCTCTTGGCTGAAAATTCTGAGATTAAGGCCAAAAATACCAAGGTTAAAGCTGAAAATGCTAAGCTAAAGCAAGCTATGAAAGAGAATAAGACAAGATTCATAACCTAGAGTAGAGCGATAAAGAAAAGGCTAAGCTCATTGTAGAATTAAATTGTGATATCAGAAAATCAAGCAAGAGTAAATTGCTATTAATGTTTCAGTGCAAGACAGGACATCCGTAATGAAATCTCTCACTTGTTTAGAATTACAGGTGACTTCTCAATTATTCATTTCATTGCCTTTTAAGGGTAACTCTGAGAATAGCTCTGATGTAACTCAACACATTCATGCAGGATCTAAATTATTGAAGGATAGACAGACTGATAAATTCCTGATTTCTGTAAGTAAGAAAGAGATTAGTGATATGATGAGGCAATGCAATAGAAAGAAAAAACTTTTACGTTAATCAACACATTTAAGCTAAAATTAGGACGAGCCCTCAATTTTTCAGAATAATTCCTCTATGCTTCTGCTGAAAGCGCTTGATTGTGTTGTCTCAAGCCTGACAGAAGATTCTGCAGAAACTGAAACCAATATAAGCAATTCGCAATTATCAACTAAATTGAGTATTTGTAAGGCAGGAGAAGCTCAAGTATTACCCAAGAATACAAAAATTTTCCATGATTATATAGTAGTCCAAGATTTTATACAAGAAGTGTCTTTAGAGTTGATAGATGAAAATAATGTTTAAATTATTGATGGAAATCAGGAGCTTACAACTGACATGATAATAGAAGTTGAGCTTGTTTATTTATTTCTAAATGTAAGTATTGAAGGGAAGAATACTATGCAGGCTAAATAAAAAGAGATTTCATGTCGCTATTCATATAGTAAAAGGTTCAAAAAAAGTGTTCAAGAAATTATTGCCAAAGATAACATTTCAGATCAGACGGTAAGAAAACAATTATTTCAGAATATAATAAAGCATCTTTCTAGAATAACACTAGAAACTTTATGTAAAAGAACCCAAAGGGCCATAAAGATTTACAAACTATTCGAAAAGATAAGAGTAGATAAAATTAAGAATATCAAATCTTACAGTGCAGATTCTATTTCAAAGTTTACTAAACCTCAAATATAAATTATTCTGGATTATTTCAGTGAATCTTACTATGCTGATACGGAGATAAAAAAATCTAATTCATACTCTAAATGCAAAGATATAGAAAAAGTGAGACTTAAAGTTCCACTTGAGAAAAGCTAAGGGTCTGTCCCAAAAAAATTATCAGATGTTAAAATAAGCACTCCATCTACTTCTCAAACTTTAAAAACCAATTAAACTAATACATTAGAGGTGCAAGAGAAATACTTGGATTCAGTTAAAGTAAGTACATCAGTAAATGTATCTTCTTCCAGTCAATCTAATCCAATCTATGATCGCATCTATTTCTGCAAAAAGATATTAGATCAATATCCTAATTTAAATATAGAATGTAGTAGTAAAAATTTTGATTATTATGAGATTACTGATGAGACATCATGCAGGGACTATATCTGCCTATTATATGAATTAAGTCATGATGAAAAAGAAATAGAAAGTAAGTATAAAGCCAAATCTTACCTTATTAAATATAAATAGTATGAAATTGAGATAAACTGCATAGTCCTATTATTTATAATATTATATTTGCATTTTTCTTGAGAAACTATTTTTTTACAGGGCTAATTCATATTAACTATTACCAAATTAAATTAACTTATATTCATATAAAAAGGAAAATAACTGTATTTAATAAAATACTAATTGCTGAATATCTGGATTGGCATGCTAAATTAAGTGGATTACCAAGTATTTTGTCAGATAAGTTTCATTTAAAATTATACAAAAGATATAAAAAAAAACTGGAAATAAGCCATGGTAACTAACAAAAGTACATGAATCGAAAGTTATAAATTCAAAGTTAGAAAAAGGACCCATCACCTTCGAAGCCAGACTTAATTCAGAATTAATTATCAAATCAGTCTTAGAACACTTCTCATACTTGAAATTCAAAAATAGTTTCAGAGGGATTGATAATTATGATTTTACATCACCTCAGCCGTGGAGCTCACTATGCCCTATTTGTGATGGAAAATATGAGAATTATGAATTATATGGTTTATGATACTGTGAAAATAGGAATTAGCTCCCTTATGATCCTGAATGCGCACATGACTCTTTAAATAATTGACAGAGGCCAGTTGAAATTTTTGATCGACCGTCTGATCAGGTTATACCAACTAATAAAATTTACAATCAAAAAGCCGATTGAACTAGCTTCATTTTTCTCAACTTTTACGTAAAAAATGAATGATGAGTATTTTCCAGAATACAAAGGTATTTTTTAATTATCTAAGTGATTCGATTATTAATATTGTTTTAGATCTAACTGATTTTTTTAACTATTTCATCTTCTTAAAAAATACGAAGATCCAACTTATCAAAATTTTTTATATTTCAATCGAGATATGATAATTAATTCACCTCATTTACTGATAATTAGGGTGATCTCGATAGCGCTTGGTCAAATCATTTTATGAGAGTCATACAAACTCATGTTTCAGACAAGTTTGAAGAAATAAAAAAGAAAGTTGGTTTTTCTCTGTTTATCTTTAGTTTTGCATAATTGCACCTCTTAATGGTCGACATGTTGTTCAAGAAGTATCTGGTCAACGTGTTAGGCAAGTAATGGGATAGCGCTCCTGAATGGTCAACATGCTGTTCAAGAGTATTTGGTTAACGTACTGAGCTTTCCTATTGCTCTGCTTATAATATTTTTTTATTACTCACACTTTACAATTACTCACATCCTTCCACCTTTACATTTACAAAAGATTAAAGCTAAATGTCGAAACGGTAGATTAAAATTATATTGGAACGAAATTATATGTGAAAAGGAGAAGGTAGTTAAACCTTATTTACCATTACCTTAATTTCTTACTAACTTCATTCTGTAAAAAAAAAGATCTCGGTTAAGAAAATACATCTTACTGACAGTCTCAAATTACTAGGTGCCTCTGGAAAGAGAAATATTCAAGAGTTATTAACTGATAGGACTATATTACCAATACAAGATGAAGATCCTCTAAAGATAGATATTATTAATATTTTTAAGTTAGGAAACGATGTATATTTCCTATATACATATTTCTGTATATATCAGGCTAGGACTAATTCTACATCTCATTTGTCTCATTGTATCTTAATGATATGATACAGACAAAAATATTTAATTACTTATTTGACACATTTATTAATTCCGGTAAGACTACATATCCTTCCCCTTCTATGTCTTCTTAATTCTAGGTAAATTGTATTTATGTTAGTGTTTAACATGAAAAAAGTTATTTCCTTATACTTTTTGGAATTATGCACAGCCAGAAACTGATATTTCTGTGAATGAAGAAGATTTAGAAAAAAGTTGTTTCCTTATACTTTCTGGAATTATGCACAGCCAGAAACTGATGTTTCTGTGAATGAAGAAGAATCAGAAATAAGTAACTTGAATACATCAGATCACGAGATAATTGCATCTGACAGATGTTATTAGCCATAAATATTTATTATTCTCACTACTATTTGTCTTGTGAAGGAGACGGATGATGAAGAAAAGGTAAAGACAGCCAACAATAAAGAGGCAAAAGAAAATAAAGTAAATATTCATTAGAATTTTTAGCTTTTAGGTTTTTTTAGACAATAATGAGAATTTTCATTTAGACTGGACCATTCATACTAAGAAAGGAACACTGACAGATAATTTAACAAATATACAACAACATGAAAAAAGAGAGAATGTGAAACTCTTAACGGGAAGATTTATCAAAGAAGAATTGTTCAAATTAAGGAAAAAATTAATATATGAGCAGTTAGTATTTATATACTTTATTAATCTGCTGTAATTATGTTATGCAAGATAGTTTACTGAATTGAAAGTTTTTTATCTCCTAGCACTATTCATTCTTTCATTCTAGATGTCAGTAATAAGACAATTAAACTGCATTTCAGTAAGAAAGAAGAACGTGATGAAATTGATTCTGCATCCGATCTACAAATACCTAATATTTCAGATGAAATAAATGAATTTCTAATGGAGTTCCTTGACAAGATAATAATTAATTTACATGCTGTTGACAAAAATGTATCACAACAAGTTATCAATCTTCTTTCCTGATGTAGTCAACATTGAAAGATATTTGAAAGGTTATAAAAGAAATGATATTTGATAATAATTATGATCGCAAAAAAGATTACGATAAGGATTACATTATTTATGCTATATATTCATTGTAAGTATTTCAGTTCTTGCGACTGGCTTGCACATTCATATGTTGAATTGGCTAAATTTATTTTTATAGGTTAAGAGAAATTGAAAACAGAAGCTTGAAAGTAGCTAATTTTGAGACTTAGTTTAATTGTCACGTGTGGAACTCAATCTTTGATCAAGCCTTTAGTGATATAGATATGATATCCATCGTTAAGTAATTTTTCTTAAAAATATAACTTGCTTAATGTACAGTGTGGGATAAAAAAAACCAGAATTTTTTAAATACACATTATGCAAAAACTAACGACACTAACTAAATAACATTTATATATATTTAAAGCTAAAAATTAGCTAATTTTATTAATATTTTTTTAGAATGGAATTCGTTCACTATTATTTTCTATAATAAGTTCACATCGGCGTTTTATTGATCCTACTAATCCAATTAGAATTAATTCTGGAATATCGTCCCATTCTTTGATCATATATCAATACAAATCATTAGTATTCTTTGGCATTTTCTTCTCCACATTCTTTTTAATAATACTCCAAAGGTTTTCTATCAAATTTAGGTCCAAACTATTAGAAGGACAGTCAATAACTTCAGGAAAATTTTCCTGAAGAAATTTTTTGGCATAATTACTAGTGTGTTTCAGATCATTGTCTTGCTGAAAACGCCATTCATCTTTCAACAAGTCTTTAATCTCTGAAAGGTGGCTACAAAGTATGTTTACATAAATTCAGCATTCATTATTTGAGAAAAACAATATAAACTTATTTTTCCTTTTACACAAAATCCTCTCTATGTAAAGATTTTCATTTGATCTTTAGGCATAGGACGTATCGATCATTGTCCTTTATGCCAACGCTCTACAGTATTCCAGAACAGTTAGAATGCAGTCTCATCTGAAAACAGAGTTTTGTTCCAATCATCATTAAGATGATTTTGAGCCTATTCTACCCATTTACATTTATGATCTGCGATCAGCATCGGTGTTGCTCTTGAAAGGTCTTTTTGGTATCCAATTTTGGCTAAATGCCTTCTTACTGTTCTATAAAATACATCCACACCTTTCAATGACAACCTCATTGATAGGGTCCTTGTTAAAATAGGAGAATCTCAGCAGACAAATTGGGCTAATGCTCTTGATGCATTAGCCATAATCTTTTTTGAACGACTATTTCCTTCTACACGCTGAATCATTTCAGACTCATGAAGCTTGGTAAGGTTATCATATACAGTCGTGAGGGAAATTTCAGTGCATTAATGGATTTTTCTAGCCTTCTGAATACCTGATTCCATAATTATAAGATCGCTTGACAGTTAGTTTCTTGTCTAGAGGTCATCGTTTCTAATTAATTGATTTTTAGAGTTTTTTTAAAAAATTGAAGATATTGATAGGAAATGAAAAAAATTTCTAATATTTAGTAATACAAAAAAAAATTATATACTCACTTACCTTATGATTATTTTCCTTTTACATAGTTCAGATCAGACTTGATTTGGCTGAGATCTGCATCTTTTTATTTCTCAAAAAAAATTCCAGTTTTTTTTGTCTCACACTGTATCTGACAAGATTCCTTTTCTAATAATCCAAAGGAGAAAGCGTAAGCTTAGCATCAGAAATGTGAAAGAATACGAAAAAACAATCAGAAAAATGGCGAAAATAGGTTGCAAAGGTGACTGAATCCTAAGGTTCGTCAGTAATAGTGAGAAAGATGAGTTTAGGACCGAGAAAGTCAGGAAAAGTTGAATAGATGAATAGGAAATGAAATTTCTCAAAGAGGCAGGGTTAAAGCTACCCAAAATCCTCAAAGATATGCTAGTAAAATTAATGGCAAAACACGTTAGGATAAAGAGAGATGTGTGAAAATTTAAACGGTTGAAATAATCTACGCTAGTTGGTAGGTTCTTCCTACTTCAGCAAAAAATCAATCTGTCAAACTAATATCTTTAATTAATAGATTTGATGATTATGATGGTATACCTAGACAATTCAGAGGAATACATCTGTAGGATCTAACGTAGTGAACCAATGGAAGTTTCAGATAATGCAGAAGAATTTCCTAACATTTTGAACATTTTAGCATCAGTTTTAAATATAAAGGTTAGATTCATGCTTTTCTTCTTATAGTAATTATACTATATATATGTTAATATAAATTGATATATTCATAAATTTAGGCTGTGATTCGAGAGACGATGAAGGCGGTACATATAAAAAAATAAATCACAAAATTATTTAAAGGAGCTGGGTTTTGAAAGCGACCATTAAATGAAGGTGAGTTCCAAATATCTTCATGCTTAACAATACCTAAGAAGACTAAAACATGCGCAGAAGTAAAAGCTCAGGATTCATATCTATCATTATCATATCCTGAATCTTCTAAGTCTAAATTACCATTAATATAGTTTAAGTTTTTAAGAAAATATCTAGATAGTATCAATTGTTTTTATATCATAAGACGTGAGTTCAATCTGTCTGTAATTATCATAATAAAGTTCATCAGGATTTATAGTTCATTTTACTCTAGAATATGTGCGTAAATGCGGGTGGTATGGTGTAAATGTATATGTATCAGAATATATTAATTTTTTGACGCTGAAATATATGTACTATACCACAAAAATTATTCTGAATTTTGTATACATTGTATACATAGTTTTAATGTTACATCATACAAATAGTCTTATAATACAAATAATACATAAGCAAGATTCTGTTAGCTCAAAAATATGTGATTTATTTATATTATCGTGTTATTTGATCAATAAATTCAGTTTTAGCTATCTAACTTCAAAGACGTATCCCAATCTAATCTAATTGCGAGAGGATCATCAGTTGCTTTAGTGAAATCGAAGACCACAAAATTCTGATCTCGCAAATGTTTGTCAATAATCTTAGATGCTTTTTTGGATTGTCTGTATATTGACGCATGATTCTGCATATATCTTCTTGAGATCTACTTCTTCAAAATATAACTAGATATAAGATATTTTCACAAATTATCTTTGGTATAGCTTGATATTTTGGATCACATATATTAATGAAATATTTTTATGTCGACTATTAATAAAATAAGAAATAATTCGATCTTGAGTCTTTTTTGATTCAGCATAAAGATCTTGAATACAACAACTGTACTTTGACCTAGGGAGAATTTAGTTATATCAGAAATCTTATCAGGTATTATTCTTTTAAATGTGACATCCTCTCGATATAGTTTTTGGCTATTTGCAAAGATCTGAAAGCTAGTTTGTACTAATTGTCACTTCGGCTCTGTGTGTTTCCTACCAATATAAGGTTATCATTCTTAATATATCGCTTTCCTTTTTTTCCTTTAAATATGCGTTAGAGTTTATTACCAAGCATAAGATTTACAACTATATTCGTTTTTCCACTATGAGACCCTTCACAGACTAAAAAGCAAAAAGGCCAATTCAGCGTAAATCCTTTAGATTTCATATGCTTTAAAGATTCTTTGAGTATCTTATCAATAGCGTATACGTATATAGACATACTCTTCTCTTTCATTCTAATTAACCAAGTAATATTAAATTATTATATGAAAAAATAAGAATTTAATGAAATACAAGCGTTTAAAGTTTTGACTTTATTCTATAAGGCCCAGTTCTCAGAGATGCTCTAGAATAACTATGTGTGGATCTTCATAATACTAGACATACCTTAAGACAATCTGATTTTCTTCACATAATTCTTTCTTGAGTTGATCCTGTTCTTGCTGTCTGATAAAATTATTGTGATCATCTCTATGAAAGAATTTTATATATTTTTCATATTGTTCTCCTGCACTTCAATTGCAAAACTATAGTGGTAATAAGAAATATTAAGTTCTAATCCTCTCAGATATTCTAATGTTTTTAGAAAATTAGGTTTACGATTTTTGAGGGTGGTCCTAAATATTTTGATATGATCTCATAGTATAAATTCTCACACTTAAAATATGAACATAGTAAGCACCAACCTTCTCTTAAAATAGTCTTTAAAGAGGCTTCCTATATGTGAGATTTTTCGCAATACCAAAGAAGCTTTGTATGTGCATCGTAATATCGTTCTGAAAGACAGTCTCCATTATTTTTTTGTGCTAGAATTTTCATATCAAAAATAGTCTGATTTCATCCACCACAGGTAGGATACCATTGGTGATAGTCTTTTATTTTATTTAAATTTGTAATCCATATATGACCCTTGTCACATTTCTACTATAAAGGCATTTTATTATTTACATAATCTGAAGATAGGCAATCCCCATTTTTGATATGTGTCAGAGACTTTGCTGTTTCAATACTATGACGATTGCATTCAAAGCACCATACATTTTTATTTTTTACATGATCAAGACTTATGAGCCATTTATGACCTATAAAACATTGCCATAATAAAGCTTGACAACTATTGAAATATTTTTCAGATAAACACCTATCATTTTTTATAGATGCAATTTGGTTAGCTTCTTCAAGGGTAAGTCATTTATTGGCTGCGCACTTTAGATACTATGTATTAATATTTTTAATTCTGTAAAGTTGCAGACCATTCATGACCTTTATTACATTTTCAGATTAAAAGGTATAACTATTAATATATTCTTGGGAAAGACATTCTCCATCTTTATTGATAGCAATTTGCTTAACATCTTTAAGAGTAATCCTGTATCCTGCATAATAAGGGAACCATGAATTAAGATTTTTAATACTATGAAATCTGGCATACTATTCATGACCTTTTGCATAACGCTATAATAAAACTGATTTACTATTATCAAATTTTTCAAAAAGACATTCACTACCCTTACTAATAGCAATTTGTTTAACATCTTCAAGTGTAAGTCTTCAATTAAATTGACATTGTAGGTACCAAGTATCACTATTTTTTATGCTAGCAAAAGAAGAATACCATTCATAGGCTATAGCATAATACTATAATAATGGTAAATTGCTATTTATATATTTTTCAGAAAGACAGATATCATTTCTATCATGTACGATTCGTTTGGCTTCTTTAATTAAATGATGGCAATTAGGGGTACACTGTGAACACCATGAGTTTTTCAATTTTATATTAGCAAGATAGACAAACCATTTATGACCTATAACACAACGCTATAATAAAGGTGAATGATCATTAGTATACTTATCTGAAAGATACAGACCTTCTCGCTCTATAGTAATATTACATGCAATTTCTAAAGATAATTTGGGTGACATTGTTTTCTTAAGTATATTTTTCCTTTAAATTAAGATTATGATCAATGAGTAACAAATCATCACACTTAATATAGCGTCTCTCCTTTCTTTCTATTAAACATTTGATAAAGCTTATTTCCAAGCATGAGATTGAGAACCTCATTAGTTTTTTTTAAATTAGTACGGTCACAGATCAGTAAAGTAAAAAGCCATTGAGGAATACTCAGATGACCATTATATTGTTTGACATCTTTAATCTCGTTATATAGTATATTAGCCTATTAACTGGCTCAAGTTTTTTTATTTTCATGGTAAGCTAACTATTAATAATGATATATTAAAAAATATCAGACTGATTTATCAATTCTCCCTTTTTATTCCTTTGTTTTATCCAAGAATCCTTTCTCAATTAGTATATGTCTAATGAACGGATATAAATCCATAATATGAGGTACTTTAATAAGGCATATACCTTAGTTCTTGCATATGTTTCACATTTACTGATCACACATATTTTGTGATTTTAGATTTTTATTCTCTTGGTGGTAGAAACTATTGTGATAATAGTGTTGAGAACCATAGAATTCGAATGCAAAACACAATTCCTCATTATATCCATCTAAGTGTAACCTATCTAAGTATAGTCTATCTAAGAACTTAACTTTACATAACGGAAATTTCTCACCTAATAGATTCTCAAAAATATATCGAGACTTGCATTCATTGCTAGTATGGTAACATAGAGGGCACTATTCAAATTTTTCATGATGTATTTTAATGGATACTCCCATTAATGTACACTATTTTCACAGGACTAAAAATAAACATTATGACCATTTACTCACCCAGTCCTTCCTAGGTATTGACCACCCCACTTCTTGGTATAATCAATAGCTTGATCTAGCTCATTATTGAAAGGGGAAGCATATGCAACATGTATAGATAATATGCTTTGAGGTGAACGACCAACCCTTTCTAGATCAGCTATTAACATGAGCTTTTCTCACATAAATCTCTGCTTTGATATATATTCATCACTATCAAGATAATATGAAACTGGTTCATTCTTTATGAGAACAACTTTTCAAATTTTATGAAGACTTGGCGACCATATAGGATTAATTGCCCTTTTCTGATTCTCCATTTCACCTTTCCATTTCACATTAGTAAGTAGGTAGCAAATGGTATCTCTTTTCTTTAACCTATCTTGTCCAACTGAGCATTTATATTTTGTGGATAGTCTAAATTCAACTTATTCTAAAGCAATAGCTTTCTCTGGCTTGAGTCTCCACTTTTCTGATCTCAGTTCTCAAATAAGATATGTAGGATAATTATTTAGGTAATCAATAACTACTGGTATATATCTAACCTATGCTCTTATTAATATAGAATCAGAAGTTATTGATTTAATAGTATACTGGATTTTGTATAGAATTTTTGAGAATGTTTGGTTGAAACGCTTCACAAAAATAAGTCCTCTATGACTATATGGACTAATCACTCAAATTGTAATATTGTGCTCTTGCATTAGTCGAAAGGTCTTGCCTATAAACTCACGACCTCCATCACATTATAAAAGCTTTGGTCATATCAATAGATTATTTTGATTTTCATATATTTTTCTAAATGCTTTAGCAATCTCAGAACTTTTTTTCGATTTAAGCGGAACTGAAGCCTTATATTTGAAAGCACAGTCTATTATATTAAGTACTGAATTATATTTTTTACCTCTATGATGATTATATATGAGAAACAGTATATTGTACTGGTGTACACAATTAGGACGTATTATTCACCTATAGCTAACTCTAAAGATGTATTTTAAAGAGGTTTTATTAGTCTGGTATGACTCTTAATTTTTTAAAAAATCTTTGCATTCACTTAGGTGGAATCAATATCCCTCTTTTTACATGCATCTCTCAAAGATTTAGGATTAGAATGATAGCCAGTCAGGTGATAATATATTTTACATAATATGATATTTTTTTCAATTTTTTGAGTCTCATCAGGATCTATCACAATTTGCAGTTGGCTCATTCTCAAGGTAGGATTATTATGATGGTACTATAAATTAGAATAAAATACCATGTTTGATCTAACATATTCACAGCTTTTAGATATGAATTAGGAGTTTTGTAACGAGCTTCAAGATGAGATTTTTATTAATAAGAATAGTGAGAAAAAAATTTGCTTCCTCGAAAAGGAGCTTAAGCAGTATTATCAAACTGTTTCATCTTAAGATAAAACTATTATAGCTTATGAAGAGGAAATAGAATCTCTCAAAATAGAGATCAAATCCCTTAAATATTATCTTCAAAAAACATTGTGGGATTTAAGACATAAAGGTAATGCTAATATTTCTCAAGATATCCATATTTTAAGGTTGAAAGATAAGGTTGATCAGTTTAAGGGAAAAATTTAGAAGCTTACAGATAAAAAGTTATTATTAAAAGGATCAAATATGAATCATATCATTCAAAGCATTTTAGACAGATGATTCGAGGCTTCCAGTTCTTTAGAAAGAATAAGAACACATTTGGATAATACTGAAATTGTTCTCCTAAATGACATAACTGGAGAATTTGATAGAATTGGTATATGTTTTACTAATATTATTACAAGTCTTAATTTGATTTGATGGTATTGGCAAGATCAGAAACACTTTGTTGATTAATTAACTCAGTGAGCCAGAAATGTTGAGTACAATTTTCAAAATTTTAGGGTGCAGTCAGAGCATGATAATCAAATGTTTAGACAGGCTTTAAATGATGAAGGAGAAGTATGTAGAAAGAATTAGGAATTGGCTTAGGATTTGCGAGCATATGCTTAAAGTATAGTTACTAGAAAACAAAATCGAATTAATGCACTATCACAAGAAAAAATTATCCTTCAGCTAATAGTTTGACGTAGAGAACGTCAAATTACTGAGCATAGAAGAGCTGCGTATAGATAGACCATAAGATATAATAATAGTGCTGAAAGGTGGAGAAGACAACATGATTGTATTATTCGATAGGCTTAGAATTGGCATAGATAATATAGAGATGAGAGCAGGAAACACCAGAAATGGCGTGGTATTACTCAAAGATTAGAAGAAGCTATAATAAATAATAATGCTAGAAAGCAAGCTCATATTATTACATTAGTACAAGAGAAGTTTGCTCTTCAATAAATAGAAATTTCCAGCAAATTATTTTTAATTTACAGAATAATCTACTAAATATATTAGGAATGGTAGGATATGGACCCCTAATATTTTATGGTCATTCTAAAAAGGATCCAAAAAATTGGCTTAAAGATATATAATAGCTAGTCAAATAAATATTATGCCTGATGCAGGTCAGGCTTCTAGAAGAGAAAAGGCATTTTGATTAGTAGTATCATGTCTTGTAGGTGATGCATTAAATTTTTATTTAACGCACATCAGAGATAAGAATTGGAGATATAATAATCTTTCAAATAATTTGGAAGTAGTTACTTTAACTGCTGTTCGAACTTTGGCTGTCAGAAATAGTGATAATCAAATTGGTGGTTTGAATACTGCTGGAAAATTTCAAGGTAAGGTGACCACTGAAATAGGTAGAATTGGAGCAGGAATTTCAACTGGTGCTGATATTATTCTGAATGGAACATAGAATAAAGACTGGTCAATAGCTGGTGACGAACCTGTAGATAATGCATCAGTAGTACCTAATGCCAGTAGTGGTCTTCCTACTGTTACTATTACTTTTAGTATTAAGCTTGACCAACTTTTATATCTGTTTAGAACCGCTTATACAATAGTTGAACACTTAAAACAAATGGCAGTTTTTGGTCAACTCATATAAGGTGATATGTTGGTTGAGCAATTCTTCACTAGAATTAAAAAGATTGGTAAATTAGTCGAAATAACTCTTAAACAATAAAGAGAGCAATTTATTCGTGATCTATCTCTGATGAATCAATATAATCTTCGAATGATAGCCAAATTTTATGATATACAGGATAGTATTATAAAAGCTCTAGCTGAAGCGGAAAGATTTATATTATCTCAAAAGAGTGTATCATCTTTTTTTCCAATTTTTCCAGCAGCCAATCCATATGCAAATACTAACAAATCAAAGATAATTAAAAATGAAATTGAAAGCTTGATAAAAAATACAATGACATTCTCAGAATCTCAACAGCCTTAACAAGTAGTTCCATCATAATTCTAACCACAACTTACAGGAACGTATAAAATTTACGAGATGAAAATATAGGTAGATTTTTATCATAGATTACAAGAGAAATCCTAAAATTTGTTCCTGTTCCTAATCCTACTTTGCCACCAAAGTCAAAAAAAAGGTTGAAGTTGATTCTGACGATGAATTTGCTAAGCTCACAAAAAGCAGTTAAAGCTACATGTAGCTAAAGTGATTAAAAAAGCTGTGAAGACACAATAGCAGTGTTCTAACTATAATTGAACTGACATAATTCTCGCAAATGCACTCAGAAGAAAAAAAAAAGTCTAAAAAAGCTAAAGTTAATCTTGCTACTATAGATTCAAGTTCTAATTTAGATTCTAGTACCTTCTCTAGTGAATCATTATCTAGTGATAGTTCAGATTCTGATACAAGTTCTTTTGATTCTTCTGATTCTAAAGGTAATATCAATATTAATATTACTAAGTCAAAAAAA